GGGAATTCTGGTAAACGTCGTTCTATAGGCCTGGCTGGGTTATTGGGCCGGTATTGAGGAAGTGTTGGATCGCGACCAAGCAATGGCAGCACCCCACTATCTTTATGCGCAAGTCCAATGCGGATTTTTGTAAACCTCTGTTTCGGACAGTGCTTCTCGATCCAAATATCAAGAGCGTTCATTAATGATTGAGACAGCCGACAAAACCCCGCTTCGCCGTCTTCTCCAACGCCGCTCTCAAGTTGTGGTACACGAGAAAGGCCGAGAGCGTTGGCTACATCGCGAGGTGTAGAAAGAGGATGCTGAAGGCGGAAGAGATAAGATGCTTCTACCCGGCGACGGGGACGTTTCGGTGGTGAGGTGCGAGGAGAATTCGTAGACCCAAAAGGTTTCGATGGGATGTGTGGTAGGTCGAAGTCGCCGCCCAGCTCCTCAAAAGCCTGCGTAGCGGCGTCGTCTAGTTCGAGGTAGTCCATGGCTGGTGTGGTGATAGCGACTTGTAGGTGGATCTTGAGGTCGAGCTGATGTTGGGAGATTCAGGGAGAAGTTGAATGCGACAAAGCGAAAGGAACGGGCGGATAGTCCGCATGGCATTTGCAAACTTGAATTATGGTTGACAGTTGGGTAGCGGAAGGACAGAACCTTGGTTCGACGAGTATGAGTAGACTGTAGGCACCATCCTTAACAAGATCCATGATTGTTTGGTTCATTAACCGTTTCCATTCCATTAAGCATTACACTAGATAATAATAGTCCCTTTCTTTCTGCGGTGGTAGGCTCCAGCCGAGCCCATCATTACCACCTATTCCCAATCCAACATGGACATAGCATCTGCCGTCCATGCCATTCATACCACAACATCATCAAAACCCCCTATGTGCAGACATCCAGCCGCTCAAAAAGTAGAATGCGGAAAGTGTGGCGGCCGGGCGCTGAAGCGAATGTATACAACAACACACAGACACAACTGTGTCGTGGAAAGTCCAAAAGGTAAGCGACCGACTTGGGTATCAAAAAAGGGGTACAATAAACCGCGCGTAATAGCGCTACAAGGGATGCCCACGAGAAGAATGGTTGTGGTTCCCCGATGCATGCAGGGCTGCAGCGTCACTGCTGCTGCAGCCGACGCTAGTGATTCTATGCCGTCAAATCCATGGTGTAGATAATGGATCGCTGAAATGCTTCGCAAACAAGAAAAAACTCCGCTCCAATGCATAGGTCGTTAGAGGCCGTCACCCGGGGAGGTAAGGTGATAGTGCGAAACGTAGGGATGAGTATAAGTCTGTGGCGAGAGAGATGTAGATGGGTCGTAGGTGTTAGTCTTTGCGGAGGGTGGTGGGCTCTGTGTCGGATCCGATGGTCTCGCCTTCCCAGAGGCTTTGAGAGTCGTCGGTTGGTGATCGTGCGCCGATGGGACTCCTGCCACCGGTGGAGTAGGATGAAGAGGAGCCGCTAGCCCAGTCGTCCGAGTCGGAGTGGGCGTGGGATGGAAATTCCTCGTAGATGTCGAGCATGCTGTAGCCAGCACCGTCCATGGGGTCGCCAATCTCGACGTAGTCGTAGTCCCAGCGGAACTCCTTGTCGGATTGCGGGCGGGGGAGGAACTTGGCGCGGCCGAAGAAGTAGCAGACACCGGCAACTGGGGAAGTTAGCAGAAGAAAATAGTGGGGCAGAGATTTCAAACTTACGCAGACTGCCAGCTACCAGGTCAATGGCGTAGTGGTGGGAGAAGTACATGGTCGACCACCAAAGCCACATGGTGTAGAAAACGTAGACGGGGAAGAGCTTGGGGAAGACGTGTCCCATAAACAGCGTCTCGAGAGTAGCCCATCCGGAGTGCAGCGAGGGGAACGCGCCAAAGACCAAGGGCGAAGCGTGGAAGCCCGAAGTGTAGAGATCAATGCCAGTCAGCTTGTCGATTGCCTTGAGTCCCGCAGCGTCACCAGGGATGCTGTAGTTGGCGGGGGCCAATCCGTATGTGTTCTCGTACCAGGGGGGCGAGCAGGGGAAGACCATCTGGATCAGAACAGCTGTGATGTTCATGTAGCCAAAAGCGCGCGCCCAGATGGGGAGGGTGCCAGGAGGCGCCCAGATGAACATGCATGCGCTGACAATGACAGGCGATACATAGTGTACGACACCGTAGGGCAACCAGGCGAGAATGTCCAGGACTGTGTGCTTGTGGGCGGAGAGGATGTTGCTGAGGTTGGCGCCGTAGAGGATGTTCTCGAGAGCGGGGAGGACGCGGACCCAGATGGCAGGGCGGTAGTCTGGGGAGATGTATCTGGGGCATGTTAGTATGGATCTTGCCACACGTTTGAGGAGGTGGATTACGCACTTGCAGCTAGAGAAGAGGAATAGCCATGTAAGAGTAGGGAGCAATGGGAGGAGAAACTGTCGTGTGATGGGCATACACAGGCCCGTCATGAGCAGCGTGGCTATGAATGTCTTGGCAAAGGGCCCCGGCGCCTCGCTCACGGAGAGGGAGAAGATGGCGAGGATGGCGAGGAAGAGATACTGGGCGTCGTATATGCTCCAAGAATGGGTGCGCAGGGAGCGCAGGGTATCCGAGGGCGAGAAGGACGTCTCGAGGCCGGCGATGGATGACGTGGGCGCCTGGCGACTGCGTATGCGCGACTTGGTGGCCCTCCACTTCCTGCGCACGCGGTGGGGGATAAGACTGGGCAGGGCGGAGAGGCCCGGGACCTTTGTGCGCGACAGCATGTCGGCGGCGGTGCTGTTGTCGAGGAATGCGAGGTAGCTCTTGTTCGTCATGCTGAGGATGGCGCTGGAGGAATGGCGGTTCAGGGCTCGGTCGCTCGGGGGTTGTCTGTGTGGCGCAGTTACCGGTAGGTGCAACAGCAGACACGCGACCAGAGGCGGGTGAAAGCACGTCGAAGTTGGACGTCGTGCAGGAGGTGGGCGAGCGGACAAGAGGGAAAGAAGGCGGAAGAGGGCGGACTAGGGATTATGAAAGGCAGCCGTGACTCAGTGGACACTGGAAGCTCCGGATGGCTGAGGCTTGCACAGCGCGCTGCCGGGGGGTCAAATTAGGTCCGCGACGTGAGCGGCTACGACGGACCCGGCTAGTCCGCGAGGGCGCTCAATTTCGTTTACACCAGGACGCTGTGACGGCCGCCAGGATTCGCATCATTGTTTCGACCGCGTTGGCAAAGAATGCGAGTGCCCGTGGTTGACGCTTTCTCTTTCACCGTGGGCACTCATGGTGGCATGCGACCCCAACCGTGGCACTGATAACGTTCCCAGGGCCTCTGCATCTGCATCTGCAGGCATGTGACCCTTGCAGCACACCCGTAGACTTCCTTATCACGTTGCTCGTCGCACTCACACATGGCTTTGTCATCTTGGTACGGGTCCCGTCTAGCAAAACTGCTGCTGGGCTCGCGCCAGAGTGATGCGCCATGCCAGAGTGATGCAGCGGTGCGTTAGACCCTTGGTTAGCCTGTCATGACATCAACATACAGGTGACCGCATCGTGCCGTCAAGCCATGGCAACCAACGCATGCCAAATCGTCTTCCATCGACTTCCGCATCCCGGTCCGTCGCCTGTACGAGATACGGGCATGTGCTGGTCAGCCTCGTTCGCTGTCGGCGTTGTCTCACAAGGCGTGCGGCCACCCACCCCAGCCTCAAAGACACACGAAACATGCACCGCGCTCCACTGCATTGCCCAAACTTTCTCACCTCTTGCACGCTACTTACCAATCACGCCCCGACACAACTCTCACCGCACCAGAAAAGCCACCGCTGACTGTACCCGCGCCATTCCTACCGTCCGTCGCGACGTCTGAATAGGCGCCCTCGGCACCTCGCAAGATCCGCAACCCGTGCAGTCCTCGCCCTCTTGGCGTAGACACATCCTCACCCGTTTTTCCACTGCCATGGTTCCACCCGCAACCCTGTGCTTTTCACGCCCGATGCGCAATTTCTTTTTTCCTGTCCGATCCACCCACTGCCCAATCGCCGATGGCCATCTCGGTCTCGCTCTCTCGGACATTGTAGGCGGAGGCTCGGACGAACACAACCTCCACCGCGCTTTCCTGTCACGACATTCGCCGTCGCCAAACTAGACTAACTTCACTAACTAATCAAACAATCTCTTTACCGAGTCACAGCCAAAGGAAAAAAACTCAATTCAATAAAAAACTCGATCACGCAGACTTCACTCGATTTGTAGGCTAAATCACAAAAGAAGAGTCGAGATTCGACATCGCGACCATCGCAATTTCCCTCCTCCTTTTGCCCTGACTCTGACACCCTTCTCCAACAAATGCCATGTACATCCCTTTCAACACTAACATTACCATGTTCATGCCTTGACTCGCTGTCACTGTCACTCCCCCAACAACATGCTGCCCAAACAAACAAAACCCACCCGCATCCGCTGCCCGTCCCTTTCTCCGCTCGTTTGCTGTCCTGCATCCACACCGCAGAAAAGAAAAGAAGCACAACATGCCCCCTTGTTTCACTAAAGCAGAATTCAGGTACAATCGTGCTACGCGAACGCGAAAATGTCGCGCAACAACCTAGTAGTCTCGTTCTCGTATCCCGCGTATCCCAGCCTCTCTCTCCCCCGTCTCTGCGCGCATGTCTCGCGCACCGCGAGGGGGTCCGAGCGCGGTCAAACCGTCGCTCCGCCGCCGTCGTCCCTGCTGCAAAAGCGGGAGTCGGGTAATTGCCATTTGCTGACTACTTTTGCCGAGACCGTCGTGCTGCCGTTCGGCACGCCGGCTGACGGTGAAGGGTTGTCGCGATGATCTGTGGTGGATGATCTCGGAAGAGTCGGAACGCGGATGCGGTGGGAGGAGTAGGGGAGGGGGATCTCAGGGGATGCTCCACTGAAGGTAGTCGGTTGGGGATGGGATCGTCAGGTACGGTGTTGGGGAGGATCATGAGTCGATGAGGTTTTGGCAATGTGATGGCAACTTCAAGGTAGACGAGTGTGTGCTACGAGTATCAGTTTGGAGCCCATCACAGTATCACCGGTATTTGTTCCATCCATCGTCCATTTCATAGTCTCCGTCATCACCATTAACCTCACCTCCTTTCTCTTCGTCCAGCTCATCCTCCTCATAGTCATCTTCGTGCTGCTGTTCCCTCTCGCGATCGTCAAACTTCGGCCTCGTGACATAGAATGCAATGCGCCCATCACGTCTTGCCTCATTAACTTCCTCCGTAACGTCCTCGTCAACACGGCCCTGATGATCAGAGTATGTATACGTCGCGTCGTTGTCGCCACCATCCATTGCGACGACGTGCCCACCACCATTGGCATGCCAGTATGCAACAGAGGCTTCGCGAGCCCCATTGAGGTATTCTTCGTCAGGCGGGTCGTCGGATATATTGAAGCCGTTTTCTTCAAGACGCTCTTTCCATTCGTCAAGGCCTCTTCCCCCGCAGTCGCTAGCGGGTGGGCTGTATTCGTTGGGTAGTCCTGAGGCGTAGGATTCTCCCATGTCGGTGCAATTGTTGCGGGAGCCACTTGGGTTGAAGATGTTGGTGGGCTTTTCCATGTCTTCATCTTCATCGTAGTCGACTTCTTCGTCGTCGATGGCATCTTCAACGTCGCTAGCTTCTTCCTCGCTGTCAGAATCTTGCTCGCTATTGGCTTCTTCACCCTCGTTGTTATATTCATTGTTGGTGGCATCTTCGTCGTCGTCGTCGCTAGAACTCTCAGCCTCACTGGAGTCCTCAGCACTGCCGGCATCATCATCGCCGCCAGATCCTTCTTCGTCGATAGCTACTTCAACATCACTGTTGTCGTCATCGCCAATGGCCTCTTGATTGTCACTGGCGTGTCTATCGTACGGCTTGAGAGCATGGCGCCTCATCTTCTCCACATCGTGGTAGGTTGGGTCACGAGGCATGTCGCGTATGTCGTATACTGTTTCAAGCTTGATACCCGAAAGTGTGGTTGTAGAAATGAGTATTGATGGAGTGAGAGAGTGAGAGCGCCGGGATTTATGTCCTCTTCAGCCTTGAGCTTTCAGCCTTCCTGTTTCAACACAGCAATTGCGGCATGCCGTTCGGCTTTAGTGGCGCAAGGCAGATACAGCTGAGGTCCTTGACCAGTAAACAGGTTTGATCGAGCGACATCACAGCTTACCTGTCGATCACTGTGATGTAAAGTCATATATGGCGGTGGCTGAACAGCGCCACCAGGCTGAGCCTTTCATCATGTCACCTGGCTATGCAACTAGACGTTCTTGTGCATGAAGACTTCGGATCGGATAGATAAGATGAGCAAATGGAGTTTCGTCTCCCTCTCTACATGGAGTAAAGACCTACGTATCATCAGACACGCTGAGCCATGCTATGTAATGCCAACGCTGAATGCCCTCCGCGCAGATAAATGCAATGCAATACAAGAACCACCACAGAATAAAGCCAAAGCTATGTACAACCAGAAGAATACCACCGAGAACGACAACGAACAACGCCATGCTCGCTCATCCCTAGTATCGTATGCGAACTAACAACCAAACAACGCGTCCCTGACCAGCACATCCAACCACGTAAACCCACCATCCTACGGCGTATCAATAAGATCCTCCAAGAACTCATCGAGTTCGATAATCGTAAACTGCTCCGCCCACTTAGCCCTAAACTGCCTCCTCCTGTACCCGCCATTAATCTGCTGACCCCAACTAATCAACTCAACCTTCCATCCCTTTTTCAACGCGCGCTCAACATGTGCGAGAAACCCATCCGACATCTCCGCCACGGCACCATCACCCGTCGCGAGAACCATGGTGCTGGGTACTTCGGTATCAATAATGCTCTGGCACATCTTCAAGTGAAGAATCTCGTCGACACCTTGCTCGACCCATTTCGGGGCCGAGGGCGTCTTCGGAGTAACAGCAGAAGGACCCGTTTCAGAGTCACTGCCGCTGCCGGAAGAGCGTATTTGAGTAGCCTTGTGCCAGCCCATCTTCTTGACATCGTTGAAGAATTTCTTCTTCTCCGAGTCTTCGCGTACGATCAGGACTTGCTCTTGCATGACGCTGTCGTAGCCGACGGCTTTGGAGGTCTCGACGAGTTTCGCTACGTGGGGGAGGGGGTTGGCTTCGCGGTGGGAGCCGGCGAAGAAGCGCTTTGCTACCGGTCGGCGGCGCTCCATCAGTAGCGCTAGACTGTCAAAGGACATGTCGTATGCGTTGTGGTGCAGGCCGTGGTAGCGGAGCATGTCTTTGAGGCCTATCATGATGTTGGAGGCATCGACAAAGACGTGCAATCCATGCGCTGAGTTGCGCTCGTTAAGCATTTGCATAGGGGCCACCAGCCACTTTCGATCATCAGGGAAAGTCTCCATCAACTTGTTAAACAAGTGGTAATGACGCTCTACCTGTGATCTAATCGTGAGAGCTGGGCGCTGTCCGCTAAACGACTTACGTTGCGGCGTTGGGGTAGTGGGTGGTTGTTGAACGACGGCTGGTTGTGAACAGGTTCTTGGTACGGTGACCGGTCGAACAGTTCGGGGAACAAGTCCATGGTGTATCGGTGTGGTGGCACGAGGCGCTTGCTGAGGTTCGAGTAGAAGGTCCTGAGACAGGGCAGGTGCGAGTGCATCGAATATTATGTTTTGGGTCTGAGTCGGGGCCGGTGCAGTAGAGGGAACGACTACGGGGACTTCTTGAGGAGGCTGAGGAGTCACAGGCTGTGCCGCGGAAGGCCGCTTCAGTATGCTGGGGCGGGCCTTGGGTGTCCTGAGCTGCTTCTGTTGTGTCTGAGGAGCCTCGGTTGTGTCTTGTGCATGCACTGGGGTAGGCGTCGCAGGCCTGATCTTAGCGCCCACGTTGGATCGTGAATGTGCTCGGGACGGCTTGGTTGGCGTTTCCGCCACCTTGACATCCTTGGTAGTTATGCTGGCGATTTCATCTAGTTGTTTCCGCAGTAACGTCTGCTGTGCCTGTTGCTTCCTCTGCTCGCGTTCTTCCGCAAGCTGGGCCAAGGTGTCCTGAACAGCTTGGTGGCGGCACCGCTCCTCTTCGAGCTCCTTCTCGGCGCGTCTGCGAGCCTTCTTCCGTTGGGTCTTAGTCAGACTTGCGTTGTCTGTTCCCTGCTCGTCTGAGCTCTCGTTAAGTTTGGCAGGTGTCTTGGTCGATTCGAGGACAGGAGAAGGTAATAAAGCGTCGTCAGAATTGCTGAGTTCGGACTCAGGATCGAGTGGCGGCAACGGCGCGGAGGTGTCATCGGCGAACCCGAGGTTTTCGAACAGCTTCGAAAAGCTGCCTAGACGTATTCCTCCATCTTTCAGTGTGGAGGCCTGAGGTGTCGCCACCGACCGAAGCGGAGGGGAGCTAATCTCTTGGGTGCCCGAATCTATCAGGCCGATGGCGGTGCTGAAGTCCCAGCCGGAGTCGAGCGGTTGTGAAGGCATTTGATCGTTGTAGGCTTGCGAATCGGCGTATTGACTTGGTGTATGCTTGTCGTAAGGAATTGGTGCTAATGCGTAGAAGATACTGGAGTCGTCAGCAAGGTGAACGATGAACCATGGTAAGCGGTCCCGAGGCTACAGCTCGCGCGTATTGAAGCCTGAACAGCCTTCACAGTCTGGATATATACTGCGCCGCCTGTACCGCAATAAGTGTCAAACATACCGTGTAACTGATCTCGAAACAATCGTCTTAGTCGCACGCTCATGGTCTATTGCGACAGGTTCAATGGAAAGAGTGTCTTCAGACCGAGTCGAGATCCACAGACACGAGTGAAAGGAAAGAAATAAGCAGTGACAAAGAATGAGTCTTGCGCGAGAGGTAAATGTAAGTGAGTGATTCTGGGTGGCGGCGGGGTGAGGGAGATCGGCAGGTAGTCAGGCGTGTCTCAGCCTCATATGGTCAGTGCTCCATGATTCATTCGAGTCGGGTCGCGAGGCCAACGCGGTGGCGAATGACACACACGAGATGCATGCCATTGAGTTTTCTCTGCGCCAACCTCAAATGGGCTTCAAGCCAGTCTTTACGTCGAGCTCGATTTTCTGAAAGTTGCAGCATCGCAGCCCGGTACTTCTCATGCATTGCTTGTTCGAGATACTGTCGGTGGTCCGACAGCGTCAAGCGTCCCGAACGAGACGAGCTGGATCGTCGCACAAGTAAGCATGGTCTGGCATGCTTCGCTGCAGGGTGCTTCTAGTCTAGCTTCTAGCTACATATTCACGTGTACTCTAGACAAAGTCTCGATTACTTACCCTCTGACTTTGCCCTAGGACCTTAAGCTCATACAATAATGCGTGCGATGAACAATACAATGAGCATGCCACGACGATATTGAATTGTAACATGGACATTTCCTGATACTGACCGAAACGCCCATCTTCAAATTGCACAATCAAAACCTCCCAGCTCTACGTAGATAACGTCTTCCAAGCCTCGGCACAACCCTCGCGTCCCTTGCCCCACAACCCGCAGCATGTACCTCCAGCAACCGTTCCCCAAGTACCCCTCCCTTCACACCCCCCCTCTCAAAAAGCCCCTCCCTTTTAAAAAAAGCCATGTCCGCAGATTTCTGGGCGGGTTATGTATCCGGCGCAGCAGGCATCATAATCGGCAACCCCCTCGACCTGATAAAAACGCGTCTCCAAGCCGGTCCCTCGTCCCAAAATGTCGAAGCTACATCTCCAGCTACCACAGGCGCCGTAACAACACCACGGGGGTTCAAAGGGCAGTTTGAGAATGCGGGGACACTCGTAAGAGGTGAGCAAGACAAATTCGCAACTTCAATCAGTATAGATGAAAGTAAGATCAATTGACTGACTCAACTTCTCCAGTACAGGCGCAACAGCACCCATCCTAACCTACGGCGCCCTCAACGCCCTCTTATTCATGACCTACAACCGCACCCTCACCCTCCTCCACGACTCCCCCGCATCGCCTACAAACTACTCGAAAGTTTTCCTAGCAGGCGCAACAGGCGGTCTCGCATCCTTCATCGTCAGCGCACCTACCGAACTCGTAAAGTGCCGCGCGCAGGTAGCGACCAACGCGACGACAACTAGTTGGAGTGTAGCGAGAGATGTGTGGAGAGCAGAGGGAATCAGGGGATTGTATTATGGAGGTGGCATTACGAGTGTGAGGGATGCGGTTGGGTATGGATTTTAGTGAGTTGTCCGCCTGGCTGGCATTATGGATGCAGAACCACAATGGTGGAGGACGTTGGCTGACCGCACACGCAGCTTCTGGTCCTACGAACTATCCAAACAGGCCTGGTCCTCGCCAGACGACTCCGATCGCGAAACAGCCATGAAAGTGCTGTTGTGTGGTGGTCTTGCTGGTGTCATAACATGGGCGTCGATATTTCCGCTGGATGTTATCAAGACGAGGGTGCAGACGCAGATACTACATGCGCCGATGCGGGATGGGGAGGGAAGTGCGCTGCTAGGGTCAGAGACACCCAGAGCACGATTGAGCGCTATCGAGGTTGCCAGGCATGCGTACAAGACAGAAGGTGCGGGCGTCTTCTTCCGTGGCTTGGGCATATGTAGCATACGGGCATTCGTGGTGAACGCCGTACAATGGGCCGTCTACGAGTGGATGATGAAATTGCTGCAGCAATAACACGCTATTTCAGACATCACCGATGCGTAGGCTACAGCAAAGCACAGCTTGAAACCGCTAGGTTACTATTCGATCTCCTCATTACATTTCGAAAGCTAGCCCTTTTGTCGACAAGGAAATTTTGGTCCACTACAGACATGCCCGTGATCAAGACCCGTAACATAATCTCTCCAAAGCTCCGTCATGTGTATACATGTGAAATGAGAGAGAAAAAGGTGTTCCTAACATGACAATGCTCATAACCAGAGCAGATGGGAACCCGTATGCATCAGCCTCTGATGCTTGCGCGTCGAAGAAATACCGCAAAGCAAGGA